AGTCGAAGGCCCAGGAACAGGAATAAACATGACATGAGGAGAAGATGTAGGAGCAGGTTGGTGGGGACAGGAGGTGCTGGGTGCCAAGCAGGGAGACTGTGATTCTAAGACATAGGCATAGTCATCTTCTAAAGGGTTTTTAAAAGGAGACCTTTGACTTTTCCCAGCACATGATTTATCGTATATTAGGAGTTGGGGAGGTAACTGGATTGAAAAAGAGATCAAGTGGTTGAGGGGGCTGTTGCAATGTACAGAGCTTGCTTTTCATGCAAGGTTCTGTGGGATGTTTTTGGTTTTGTAGGTGAGGGAATGGAGGCTCCGAGATGTGAAACCACATGCTTAGGGTTCAGTGACTAGCGTGATAGGGCCACTTTGTCATCCTGGCACATGTTGCATGCACAGAACTGTCTTACAGAAGCAGCCATTAGGAAAAGGGGAGGGTCTCCTCCTCATGGGATTCTGCTTTTCTGTGCCTACATCTCTAATGCCAGTTGATGGGGAACTTGACACCTGGCAGGTGCTGGTGTGGGGGGAGTTAGGTATTGTGCTAAAAGGTTTCTATATGTGATGTCTTCATTTCTCATAGAAGTAATAAAGTTTGTGGTGCTGGTACCAACAATGGGTTAAAACAACCAGACAGGTGTGGTGCTTGATTGAGGTCTCATAGCTAGAGTGGTAGTAGACTGAGCTTGTAGGTCTCCACATGATCCTTTTTTCCTAGTCCACTCTCTCACTAAAAGTGGACCAGGACACTTGGCTGAAGCCTGCTGAAAGTCAAGAGCCATTGGACTACTCTTATTGTCTCATCTTATGATAATCACTGGATATCTGTTCCTCGTGTCCAATCCACCGTTGCCCCTAGCTTCTGGAAGCTTCCCTTGCTCTATTCCCTTGATCTAGAAGTAGCTTCTTCCTACCTCTTTAGCAGGTATGCCAGTTTGCACACTGAATTGACATCATGTAGGTGTCTTTATATTGTGTATCAGAGTGTCTAGACTGCCTCCTAGGAAGGAACATTCGTGGGGCTGGGGGACGGCTCAGCAGGTAAGATCATGCGCTGGTCTTGCAGAGCACCCCGGTTTCCTTCTGAGCACCCTCATGGTGGCTCACAGCTGTCTGTAACTCCAATACCAGGGAATACATCAGCCTCTTTTGATGTTCTTGGAATCTGTATACAAGTGGTACACAGGCATACATGTGAGCAAAACACTTGTAAACATAAAACAGTTTAATAAATTAATCCTTTAAAAAGAGGACATTCTCACCAGCCATGGTGGTGTACACCTGCAATCCCAGCACTTGGGAGGCAGAGGCAGTCGGATCTCTTTGAGTTTGAGGCCAGTCTGGTCTACAAAGTGAGTCCAGGACAGCCAACGCTACACAGAGAAGCCCTGACTGGAAAAACCAGAACCAAACCAAAACAGAAAGGACATTCTTGACAAAAGCTTACTAACTTCCTAGAGGAAGAATGGCTTTGTGTGTTCTAGGAAATAGCCCAGGTGTCTTCTCTGGAGAGAAGATCCTGTAGAGGCTTCTGAGAGGCTTGGATGTTGAGAATGCTTGAGGAATGGAACATTTTGTCTCAAACTTTGAAAACTGATATGTGAATTGAGTAGGCAGGTTAGTGTGAATGCCAGGTATGCATTCTGCTAGAAGTGATTCATTTTCTGTTGAGTACTTGGGAAATGTAGAATAAATCATTGATAACTGTCTTTGTCACTGTTCTATTTCTATGAAGAGACATCATTACCAAGGCAACTCATAAAAAAAAAATAAAACAAAAAACATTTTAATTGTGGGCTTGCTTACAGTTTCAGAAGTTAGTTTATTATCATCATGGCGGGGAACATGGTGGCACACAGGCAGACATGGTGCTGGAGAAGTAGCTGGAAGTTCTATATCCTGGTCTGTAGGCAGAGAGAGAGTGGGTGGGGAGAAAGAGAGAGAGAGAGAGAGAGAGAGAGAAGGCAGGGAGGGGAGAGACAGACAGAGACAGATTGACTGGGCCTGGCTTGGGCTTTGAAACTTCAAAGCCCACACCTATTGGCACACAAGGTGTGCCTCCAACAAGGCCACACCTCCTAATCCTTATAATTCTTTGAAATAGTGTACTTCCTGTTGTCTAAGCATTCCAATGTATAAGCCTGTGGTGGCCATTCTTATTTAAAGCATTACAACAGGTATGGTGTTGTACTTTAATTGCAGGTGATAAGGGTGATTTTTGGCTAAAAGAACAAAAGAACCATTGAGCTAACTGAAAGAATACAAGGGGAGATCTGCAGAATCTGCCAGCAGCCAAGGGAAGTGGGACTTAGGAAAGGAAAGAGGGCAGCTTTCTGGGGTTCTCTAGGCTTCATTCCCTTTAGTCTCTTCTCACAACTCAGATTCTTCAGGGAGCTTGAGTGATCTTATGGCCTTCCCAAAATCAGGTGGGAAGGGTGTGTCATGCCCAGATATTAGGGTCCCCAAAGACCACCAAGAGCCAAACTACATATGCAAGAGCAAAGAGCTTTATTTGGGCTTAAGCTCTGTCTCTCCACGCAGTGGATCAGAGAGGAGAGGGCCCCAGCAGCTGCACCTGCTCAGCAGGGTGTTTATTGGGGTCTGAACAAGGACCAGGGATTTCCAGCTTAGCAGTTATACTATTGGGTGACATTCAGCAAGGGCAAGCTTGCTACAAAGCGATTGGCTAACGAACATAACTAACTTTGAGGGAGCTATCTACAGACCTCAGGAATGTTAGGTATTTTCTGTGCCATGAATATTCTACTACAGGGTCAGTGGGCAGCTCAGCATTGATGCCCCCTTCCCTCCAAGATAAGATACTTTCCCATTCTGTGGTTATCCTCAGTCTGTTCCTTGGGTAGGAAATTTTATGATCTTGTTCCTGGAATTGGTGACCTACAGCCTAGTTCTTGGGACTGATGACTTTTTTTTTGGGGGGGGGGGGGGGGGTCAGGACTGGTTCTCTCAGGGGAAAGAGCATTCCACAGAGGGTACCCTGGACTGGCAGGCAGATAAACCAATGAGTGTATTCTAAAAGGTGCACGTGATAACTCTGATCCTCCCGGAGTTTATGTCACTGGGTACAGAGTGATGAGTTAAGGGGCAAATGACAGTAGGCCATGGTGGTTGCCGTGGAAGGTCTTTACAGAGTGGCAGGAGCTTAAGGGAAGTTTGAAATTTTGCACAGGAGGGATAGGTGTCAGGCAGTCTGAAGTGACTTTTAAAGCTGAATAAGATTTTGGTAGTTGGAGAGATACCTTTTTTGTTAGAATTCTTGTGTGTGTAGCAGTATGGAAATAAAGATGTTACTTATAAAGGAATGATGTGTCTAGGAAATGCAAGGAATTTCAAGTGGCTGATCTCAAGAATTCACTGAGTGAGAAGTGTGATGAGGCTGGATTTTAAAAGTGTGTTCTTTTGGGCAGAGGGATTTTGGTCCTAGAAGATAAGCTGTCATTATTTGACCATCAGTGTTAGGAGGACATAATTAGTTGAGTTTTTTAGGAGATAGTTACGGAACGAATAGGGAGATCCTCAGACTCAACTCTTGAATGTAGCCAGTAAGCTGGACAGAAAATGAGGTGCTGGGAGAACCCTTATAGAGATTTTCCAGGTGGTTGCAGATTTCTATGAGAATCCCTATGGATTTGTGGGGATGGTAACAGGTGATGTGAGGCCTGGCCATTTTCATTGTTTGTGGAGCTCTGAACCTTCGATGGTGAAGCGGCTGAATGTAGAAGACTGTAAGCCATTGAAGGGCATGATGAATTGGGCAGCCCTACGCGCAGGGCTGCCCCTGTCACACCTTCACTCTCAAAGGCCGGTATTCTGTGTGCTGGGAAGTTAACAGTGCCCTGTATAGCCCTTGTCTGGGAGGGAGCAATCAGGAAGAATGTGCAAACAGCTCAGGCTCTTGTTGCTGGGTGAGAATGGAGTCACTTCCTCCAGAGGGCCATTTTGTAATTCTGAGGAGGAAGGTGAATGAAGTTGAGGAGGCTTGCACTCTCTGAGTTGCTGGGGGCCTGGGAAAGAACTTTCTTTTCCTGATAAACACGGGCTAGGGATAGGGAGCAACATGGTTTTCTTTGCAATAAGTAGTTTCTAAACAGGAAGATCTTCACTCCAGCTGTGAGGATCAATGACTCATGCTTGGAAGGAACTGCCTGGAGCGTGTTTAAACAGTGTGGGTGGGTTAGAGTCTGCCTATTACTAAATCTCTGTAAGTTTTAGGCTCTTCAACTAGAGTGAGTTGAAGAAATGCCACCGCCGCTGATAGCAGTAAGACTGGAGTGTTTGTGGAGCTCAGTGACAGCGCTTTCCTAATGCATGAGTGAAGGCTTAGGCTTCCACCCGCAGTATAAAACAAAGCGAAACAAGACAGATGAACAACAACACCCCAGGCCCTAACATTGAGTATTCGGTGTACTAGATCCTGTGCACAAATGCTTATGTTCATTATATCATTTTTTCTTTCTTTCTTTCTTTCTTTTTTTTTTTTTTTTAAATAATTTATTTATTTTTGAATAGGGCTTCTTGGGTAGCCCTGGCTGTCCCAGAACCTGGCCTCAGAGATCTGTCTGCCTCTGCCTCCCAAGTGCTTGTGCTTGGGATTAAAGGTGTGTGTCACCACCTCCCAGATTATCTCATTTTTTTGTTAACAAATTCTATGAAGTTGTGCTATTAGCTTCTGACAGTAAAGGAACCCCGGGCCCAAGAAGCTGAGTAGTAACTTGCTTCTTTCCTCCTTCTTACCTTGCACAAAATCAGGAGGTGGTAGAGCTTGTATTCAATTACAGACCACTCCAGAGTATTACAATATTGAATTTTTATTCATTTTAAAGAAAATTATATATATACACATATAATTATAAAACGATGTCATACAATGACATCATTAGACACATGTATATGTATGCCTAAATATAACTCCTTCAATTACAGTGGCTGTTTATAGTGGTTTTATTCTCACCCTGGCCTGTTTTGTTCTCTTGCAGAAGCAGCTGACACAGGATGATGACACCGACGAGGTTGAGATTGCTATCGACAACACAGCCTTCATGGATGAGTTCTTTTCTGAGGTGGGCAGCCTTCTGGTGTTTTCTTCTGAATGTGTATGAGGAAACACAGTTTCCTCAGTAAAAATTAAAAAACAAAACAAAACCCACCTTAGATGTTTTAATGCTGGCAAAGGAACAGATGGGCAGGCAGAGTTGTTCCAGGGAGATTCTGTTTTCAGCTTTTGGGAGTAGCTAGAATTTACATCCTATTAAGGAAGTCAGCGGAAAGGGGCCGCAGAGATGGCACAATGGTTAAAGAGCACTTGCTGTTCTTTTAGAGGAGCCAGGTTTGATTCCCAGCATACTCATGATGAGTCACACCATCTGTAATTCTAATGCCAGGGATCTAATGCCCTCTTCTTGCCCCTGTGGACACCAGGCACGCACATGGTACACATATACATGTAGACAAAACACCCGTTCACAAAGTAAAATAAACAATAAAGGATTTAATAGAGTCAGAAAAGGGTAAATTACATGTAGTTGAACATTTGAAAGATGTCTTTTCTTATTTAAAATTATATAACCAGGGAGTCACAGCTAGGCGTAAAATCAAAACTATTGCTTCTTTAGGCCTTTGATTCATACCAGTCAAATTTGTCGTATCTTAAAAATTTTTCTAATTGCTTTAATTCTAGTGTCGACCGAGAAAACAAGATTCTACTGGGCCGTTTTTTACAGGGCCATGTGTGCCTCCGTAGTCACATGTTCTTGCGCAGGAAGGCCTTCAGATTGAGCTATAGCAATGCTGAGTGGTGGAAGCATGGGGAGGCGGGAGAGTATAAAGAACAGAAGTGCTGGCTTTGGACCGGAGTGGACGGACTTAGGTTCAGATCTCAGACTGCTTCTGACCACGGCCGATTTTGTGGATGTTTCTTAACCTGCTGAGCCTTGTTTTCCTCACCTGTAAATTGGGGTCAGCTGGATAATGATTCCCCATAGGGTTATATAGATTGGGTCTGATTATACTCATAAATCATCCAGAATATTATAGGCATGTATGTACTCAGTGTGTTGTTCTTAACACCCCCTCCTCCTCAGTCTTATTGCCACTGAGGTTTCTGTCTCTACTGTATCTTTTAATTTCTGTCTCTGTATCTCTGTCTCTTTCCCTGGAAAGAGAGAAGAGACATTATTATCTTTTGAGGGAGAATTCAGGGGTTTCCCACCATCTGGATCGTGGGTGTGGAGAAGTGGTCCTCCACAGTTCCCCTGAATGGAGTGGACTGGAGCTTGATAGTTTGTGCCTGCTCATCTGCTAGATTAAGAGCTGGGTTGAAGAGGTAAGCTGAGTGTGTGTTGGCCTGACTGGAAAGTTGCTGTCAGCCTCCACAGCTCCCAGCTCTGCTTGGGGGTGGGTGTGACCTTTCAGTCAAGGACTCGGTGATGTCACACAGCACCTGTGTTGTTCTACTTAGCACAGTGGAAGACAATACTCTTGTTCAGTGGTGGAGGTGGGCTTGAGTTGATGTGAGATGACTTTGTCCCTATCACTACAGTCTTGCCTTGGAGACTCACATGTGCTAAAGAACATCTTCTTTATGATGAGGGATCTCTAGTACATGTGTTCTCCCTCTTCTCCTGTTCCATAGGAGGATTCCTAAGAGGCAATATTCCATGCAAAGTAGGAAGATGCTGGGCTTTGGTCTGTGAGTAAAGGTTAGAGTCTGTTTTCCTAGCTGGTACTGGACACATGGCCTTGACCAGCCTTTGTAAGAAAGGTCACAAAGAGAGTGAGTTGTAAAATGATCTTTTACTCGACTGTTTTTAGTGTTGTTTCAGAGGATTTTTGCCTCAGTTAACCTAGGCTTAGTCCTGGAAGCTTCTAGCCTCCGTACAGACTAATGTAGGCCCTAGAATGTTTTCAGCCTCTGAGACTCACTACTTAATAAGCTCACCTTTTCTTGTTCTTTCTGAGCTCATAGCTGGCTGGTTCAACTCAGCTGTTGTGGCTCAAACTCCTCTCCTAGCTGACTTATTCAATCTGGCTTCTCTCTTGGCCTCTGAATTGCTCTGCTTGGCCTCACACTAACTCCAACAATCTCTTCTAGTCTTCTGGCTCCTTCTCATTTTCTGATTCATTTTGTCTTCACCTATGTTCTTTCTCTGAAACCCTTCTCTCTATTACTGCCCCAGGAAAACTGCCTTTTTCTCTCTCTGCATTGCCCCTTAAGTAGCTTCCCTTTCCTCTTTTCATGAGAGTTGGGTGTGTCCTAGTCTGTCAAATCTTCTCTGATTTGTCACATTTTCTGCCACTCAATTAGACATCACTTCAAAACATGGGTACTTCCTTCTATAAACTAACTTTACCTTCATTGTGTGGGATTAAAGTCTTGTACCACCATATATGGGCCTAAGCTTTTCTTTGCCAGAAACTTGCTCTATACTAGGCTGGCCTTGAACTCAGATCTGCTTGCCTCTGTTTCTTGGATTAAAGGTGTGTTTATATTCCAGCCAGATCATACAGACCCAGAAAGTCTTTGGATGTGATCTCTTGCCAGAGAAGCCATGTTTTGAATTAAAATTCCTCTACAGTGAGTGCCTTCTCTCTGGCCATCTAACTTGGCATCTAACTTGGATGATGGAAATGTCTTTATCCACTGAGCCATCTTGCTGACCCTTTCTCAGAAACTTAGAATGCATATAATCTTCATAAAGGCTCCAGGAAGTCCCACAGTGAAGAAACTTGCTTTACTAGACTCTCTCAGCATTTGGCTCTTCACAGACCTGACATGGAACTTTTATTAACAAGGCTTAGCAACTGCACTTTGGAAAATGCACCATTGAAGCTTTCTTTTGGGGAGTCTACCTTAGTTTGGGCTGCTGTCACAAAGTACAGGGTCTGGGTGGCCTGTAGATAATAGAACTTACTTGCTGTGATTCTTGAGCCCAAAAGTTTGAGCTCCGGTACTAGTACTATTGGATTCTGCTAAGGTGTTCCTTCTAGATTACAGTGTATTTCAGCTTCCTGTAGCCTCCCAGTGTGTTTGCAAAGACAGCTAATCCCATTCACGAGGGATCCACCTTCATGACCTAGTAACCTACAAAAACCTCATTCAGATACCTTTACATTAAGAATCAATGTATGAATTTGTGGGGCACAACATCTAGTTCATTATAGGGATGAGACTGTTTAGCTGTGGTTAGGAAACATCTTTCTCTCTCAGAGGTGTGTATAAGCTTGTGCACAAGTGTGCATGTGTGTGTGTGGGGCTGGACTGGAAGGCAACAGCAGGTGTCAGCCTCGGGAACATTCACCTTTTTTGCGATATGGCCTCACTGGCACAGGGCTCACCAGTTAGGCTAAGCTGGCTGGTCAGGGATCTACCTGTCCTTGTCTCCCAGTGCTGGGAAGACAGACATGCCTCTATACCTTGTGTTTTAATCTGGGTTCTGGGGACTGAATTCAGCTTTTTAAGTTTACAAGACAAATGCTTTACCAACTGGACCATTTCCCACAGCCTCAAACCCACCTATTTCTTGAACTTACATCGTTAAAAGACCTTTACGGGTGACCCTGCACGTTTGGCACCATGAAGTCTATCAAGTAGCCTGAGATGAGAAACTCAGTCCCAGCATCTGAAGCGATCTGAATCGTATCTACAGAGTGCACGCAAAGCTCTCCAGAGCCAGGATGGGGTGGGTTGGGGAAGGGAGTGTGTTGATGAAGCAGTAGGAGCTACAGAGAGACTATCTTGAAGCACAGGGATTTTTTGTTTGGGCTTAAGTTTTGTTAGAACCTAGGACCTTTCAAAGTGATTAAAATTTGGAAATCCAGGCATTCAGATCAAGTCCAGCAGGTTGAGAACTTCTTAACTCCTTCTATCAGGTATTTGCATGAGAAGAAAGTAGGCAAGCTGTCAGATTCTGATGTCTAGGCTCTTCCAAAAGTGAGGCAGGAAGTTAGTTAGTTATTTGGTTAGTTATTTGACAGTTTGCTTCTGACCTATTTCTCCCACTTTATTTTTCTGCACTTTGCTCTTTGTTGCTGGGAACCACATTAAAAATGTATATATTGAGCTGGAGCGATGGCTCAGAGGTTAAGAGCACTGGCTGATCTTCCAGAGGTCCTTGGTTCAATTCCCAGGAACCACAGGGCAGTTCACTATTGTTTGTGACTCCCGTTCCAGAAAATCTGACACCCTGTTACAGACATACTTACAGGCAGAATATCAAGGCAAATAAAATAAATTATAAAGTGTATATATTATACAGGTTATCAGATTTATCTGTCATATATGTGAATACTGTGCTCTCTTTGAAGCCACCTACCCTACTACATCCTTGCTTTTTACCTGGGACCTCTTCTAATGGTCTACCAGACCGTTTCCCTCAGCCTCAAGCATGCTTTTTCTTGAAGTTACTTGTGGTCATATATTCATTAAACAGATATTTACAGTGACTAATAGTGACTCACCTACTTTCATTTTGTGTGTGTGCATAAATTCTGTATGAGAGAAAACGTGTCTTGTTGACTCTCTGAGACTGCTTTAACATATTTTTTTTTTTTTCCCACTTAACCTCTAGGTCACCCATCCATTTTCACACAAATGACAATATTTTATTTTTTATGGCTCAATATCATTCTAATATGTGCACATTTTAAAATCCACTTATCAGTTGACAAAACTTGGGCTGATTCTCTATCTTGATCATTGTGAGTATTGCTGCAGTAAACATGGGTGTGAGGTATCTTGCATGCTGACGTCACTTCCTTCAGGTGTGTCTGTAGGGGTGGAGCAGCAGGATCACATACAGTTCTGTGTTTAGCTTTCTGAGGGACCTCCACACTGATTTTCATAGTGGCTGTACTAATTTACATTCCCATCCACAGCGCAGTTCCTTTAACCCCCGTGTTTGTTCTTACGATTGACATTGTGATTGGGCAAGATCAGTGTTTCAGCTTAGTTGATTTGAGAATATTGCCTCAGAAAACTTGTTTTTATTGGCCAGCAAGAACTCTGAGGTCATTCTTCTCATTCACGAAAAGTTGAAACACTAATCTAAATCTTGATAAAAACTCTTTAGGGACTTGGAAGTTTAAGAGAGACAGAGAATAATTCTTTTAAAATTTTTATTTAATTTTACTTATTTATTTTTTATTCTTCTCCCACATATTCCATCCTGACCACAGTTTTCCCACCACAGTTTTCCCTTCCTCCCTTCCCTGTGGTCATTTTAATTGGCAGCACCTACAGTGGGTGACCAGATGTCCCTAGATTTCTGTGAATGGTTGCTGAGGACACTAGGATTGCTGTAGGATTAAATGAGACATGCAGCATAGTGCCTGGCATATAATAAATGAGCGGTTATTATTGCTCTTTGTGTTTACTGTTACTGTCTAATATTCATTTTGTTCTTGATACGGTATAAGCTTGTTCAAGGTCATAAAACTGCTAAGAGGTGGAGCTGAACCCCGAACCTTTTCTGTTTGCTATTTTTTTAAAATTGTATTTGCTAGAGTCTCATATTGCTGACAGATCATTGGTCTGAAAATCAGTATAAAGTAAAAAAGGCAGTGGGGATGCATTACCCTCGAATTCAGGGGTAAATTGAAAACCCCACATTTGGGCTGGCTTATTCCATCCACAGTTCTTCTGTTAACTGTACAAAAAGCTCCTGATAGGAAGTTGTGGTCAGACAGAGAGGTAAGGCACATCGCCATGAAATGCCACTGAAACCAGTCAGTTTCTCTCATTCTCTCTCTGTGTGTGTGTGTGCACATGCATGTGGTGTATACAAGTGGGTGTGCAGATGTGTTTACCCATGAACATACATGTATAAGTTGGATCAGGATGTGAGTGTTGTCCTCCATCATTCTTTGCTTACTATTCTGAGACGGGCTCTCTCTCACTGAACCAAAAGCTCACAGTTTTGGCTACTCTTGCTGGCCAGTGCTTTCATCAGCCACTGGTCTTTGCCCATCAATGCTGGGTCTACAGGCATGTGCAGCTACGCCTGGCCTTGCAGAACCAATCTTACAGAATTTAGGTTGGACATGTACATCAACCTGATGTAGGGTGACTGCATGTGAGCTTAGCAGAGAAGGAGTCTTCCGCTCTGGTCCTTTCCTGGTTTAGGAGACAGGGTTTGGTATCTAACAGATGCTTGGTTCCAACCTCAGTATCCTCTTGTTTGAAGATGGGCTTGAAGCCTCTGCCTCAGTTCTTTTGTGTGAAAGGAGATAGTGATGGTGACCTCACAGAAGTACTGAAAAGGGCCAGGCATCATCTACATGTATGATAAAGCGTAAAGATAGTTCTTTACGCTTTTAAGATTTAAGTACTTCTCAGTTCTTACATGGCTTCATCTGATGATTTGTCTGATGATCTGTCAAATGCACAAAAGGAAATCTCATGTAGCTGTTACCAAGAAATACTCAGAAATCTATCCTTCAGGAAGACGAAGACTTCCAAGAAAAAACTGACACAAAGCTCAGGAGAGAAAAGCTCTTGTTGCTCACGCTGAAGTTCCAAAGGGTCTTGTGATTGTTTGGTGAATGGATTGAAGTGATGTTTAATCAGATCCCCCAAATGCCTCCAAATGGAGAGATTGATGAGGACAGAGGGAAGAGAGCAGTTGTAATTAGTAGGGTGGCGTGGAATTTGCTCCTGGACTTGGGACATCTGGAAGGGAAGCTGAAGGTGGGATGCCCTGGACCTAACTCTCAGTGTTCAAATGCCTATACTAACTCGGAACTTGAGGTGCTGTAGACATAGCAGCTCCCCGTGGATCAGGATTTTCTCCAGTTCTAGCCACAGGAGCCAGTGTTTAGAAGAGAGAAAGGGGAAGGGCAGAGGAGGTTGGATTAGAGACCACCAGTATTTACAGGCAATAATGTGTGATTACACTTGTTGGGATCCATGACTTATTAAACTTTAGTTTTCTAATCTGAATAATAATGCTAATGTACCCTTAACTGTTATTTTTGTCAACTATTAAAATGCTACATAAATATTTGAGTAGTTATACATATGTTTATTTATACTCTGATATGATTACATTAATATTTTATTTTACATCTTTAAATAGTGATCCTACTATCAAACTATGGTACATCTAAGCCAACATATAAAGAGGGGAAAAAATCCTTTTTAGTGGCAAAAATGCTGATGTGAAGGATAGAAAGGTCCAGCTTGACCTTTGCTATTTTCTAGAGCACTGTAATTAGGTTTTAAAAAGGAGGTGACCCATCCATTGGAGAAAAAGGGCACCTGTGTTTCAAATTTGCATTCCAGATGTTACAACTGTATTATGTCAATGACAAAGTTCCTTTTGGTTAACCATTGCAATGCTGCTGCTCTCTTCACTTTGGGAGGAGGCAGGCAGGCATACTGGGTGCTGAGGTCTCTTCTCTTGGCCCTCACTATGATCTGCTTCAGGGGCCATGGTGCTGAGGCAGCTGGTGCCGGTGGAGGGAGCAGCAGCATCCTGTGATGGGGTTCTGTCACAAACTAAATGCTTTATAGCACAACACCTGCGCAGTCAGGAGCCTTAAAATGTACAGAAATGGTCCAAGGCTGTAAATCTGGGTTCCGATCAGTGTTGGTTAGCTTATAAGATTTGGTTCACCAGAACATGTGTCCGAGAAAAGCCTGACGGTCCTCTGAGATGTCCTTGCCTACTCTCTTTCTTTCCCTTGTCCCTTGTCTTCTCCATCTTCCTCTCTCTTCTCTTACTCTTTTCTCTGGTTTTCATTCTCTAGGTTTGCTCTGTTGTCTTTGACTGTTTTCCTTCCTCCCTGCCCTACCTTCATTCTCTTCTTCTCTCACTTTGGGGCCAAAGGATCTTTCCCATACTGTTTGCAGTTACCTTTCCTGGTTATTCTCCATGGGTTTCCTGACCTTTTTGTCTACTATCTGAACCTTACCTTAAGGTGTGTGTGGAGGGGAGGAGGAGTGTGGCTTTTGTTTTTCAAGACAGAATTTCTCCGTGTAGCCTTGGCTGTCCTGGACTCACTTTGTAGACCAAGGCTGGCCTTGCACTCACAGAGATCCACCTGCCTCCACCTTCATGAGTGCTGGGATTACAGGCATGTGCCACCCACACAAGGAGTGTGGATCTTAATGACTGTTCTTTATGGACTAATTTACTTGATTGTGAAGATGGCACTCCTTGGTGGCTAAAGATTTTTTTTTTCATATTCTTCCACAAACACAGAAGGTAGACAGTTTGGAGCAGGAAGCTCTGATAATCATTCCCTTTAGGTGAGGACATAGTTTCACTCGTTGATGGTGAAGGCTGTTGTCTTTCTGATTATAGATTGAGGAAACTCGGCTCAACATTGACAAGATCTCAGAGCATGTGGAGGAAGCTAAGAAACTCTACAGTATCATTCTCTCTGCACCGATTCCAGAGCCAAGTGAGTGCTGACTGAGTTGAGTCGCTGTACTGGTCCTTTGCATTAGGGCTGAGACTGGCTTGTTTTCCTCTCTTCTGGGAACAGCAGGGGAGCATAACATTCTCTTATGCTAATGTACATATGATATCACATATCACACCTCTCTCCTGAGGGTTAAAACTGGAACTCTTCAGTGGAGCATATGAGAATTGTCTCCTCATGTTCCCATCTTTCTCTCCACCATTTCACCTGCCACTTCTGCCCCTGATACTTTACTCATGCTAACCTCTGGTTGTTCCTTAAACATGCCTTGTTCCCTCCTGCTCTTTATACATCATTCTTTCTCCTTGGGATTCCTGTTCTTAGTCTCCTTGGCTACCTAGCTAGCCTGTAGTCTTTCATTTTAACTAACTAACTAACTAACTAACTAACTAACTAACTAACTAACTAACTAACTAACTAACTAACTAACTAACTTTTTTACTGTTTGCTCACCTGTAGTTTTGTTGAGACTCAGTTCCACTCTCTCTGCCCCTAGGGACTCTTCCAGACCTCTTGAGGCTGTGCTAGGGTTTCTCCATAGCCATCCCTTGCACACCTTGCTCAGAACTTAAACCATACCTTGTGCTACTTATCAAGACTTCTGATGTATTCCCTTCTCATTCCCTGCCAGGCTCAGCCCCTTGATGGCTGAATCTCTATCTTCTCTCTGGTCCCTTCCTTTCTCACTTGGTGTTAAGTCTGGAGGTACTGAAGGATAGTTCTGCAATGAATGGTTGTAGTTATTGTTAATTTTGTTCCATATACCCACCATGAGTATAGCGCTCCATTCATCAGCTGGGACAGCTCTGGGCACCTCAGAGTTACATCATAAATATTTGCTTTATTTTAGTTAATGGATTTTGGTTGAAATTTCTTTTCCCCAGAACTTCCATAGAGTTCTCTCCTATCTACTGAGATTGAGCTCACATGTTAAACAAGTTCATTCCTCTAAAAGCATGACTTGGGTTGAAGAGAACTGTTAAAAGCAAATCCTAGGCTTTAACCCTGGGGTACTTGGTTCTTTAGGTCTGGGATGGAGTGCCTAGAAAATGCCTTTTAATTTAGTTAATTAATAATTTTATTTGGATTCGAGGGATTATACCCAGGGCTTGGTGCATGCTAAGCACATGATCTGCCACTGTGCTATTTCCTTAGTCTGGGAATACTTTAAAAAGAAAAAAAAAAATTCTGTGACTGCAGTCATAGATTCTGGAAAGCACATTGAGATGAACACTGCAGTGGCAGCGCGTGTCCGAGAAAGTTTTTTGCCTCGTCTGTTCACTGATGTCACTTGTAGAGCAGTTCATCCATTTTTTTCTAACTGAGCCTGCCTCTTATGTTTACCCAGAAACCAAAGATGACCTTGAACAGCTCACAACTGAGATCAAGAAAAGGGCCAACAACGTCCGGAACAAGCTGAAGAGTAAGAAGGGAACACAGGAATAAGCCAGTCTCTACCAAAACCAGATACAGCCTCTCAGGGCTCACCTCTCAACTGTCAATCATCCCAAAGGGAGAGATATCACTTGTCCTATTTTTACTGGAGGCTTAGGCACTGTCCCTGGACTGACCTGCTGTACTCTTAGTCAGTTGTCACCTCTTGAATTCTCATCGTAGTTGAAAACACCCAGAACTGAAGTTGGGAAGTAGGAGAGCAGATGTGCTTTTCTCTACTGTCACGGTTGCTTTAGCTCACCCCTGGTTCTCTCTTGGTGCTTCCCCAGCCCCTGTGTGCATTTGAAGGGGTAACCGCAGAGACACAGGTGCAGGGGCTGCCATTCAGTCAGCAGACATTTCTTTGTATGTATCTTCTTACTCCTGCTTCCTTTCCTGGTTTTGGAGCACAGTTCAGTAAACCACTGTCATAGATTCAGCATGTGGATGCCCAAATACTTGCTTAGTTCCACATCTGCAATCCATATTCCTGTTCAAAGTAATTGTTCAGTATGTGGTATTGGTCAGAGAAGAAATCATATTATTTCTCCCCTTTCCAGTAAATTACAACAGTTATTTTAATGGGTACGGAGGAGAAGACAGCTTCTAAAAATGGTGATCATATGACTGCCTTAATGCTAAGCGGTTCACATGGGTATTTTAAGGAGATTCAGGTTGAGCATACTTCATCCAAATTTTCCAAAATCAGAATGTTCCAAAATCTGAAACTTTCTGAGCATTCATATGACACTGTAAGTAGAAAATTTCACACTAAGCCTCACAAGTGCACTAAAAACACAGTACAAAATTATCTCTAAGCTCCATATGACTCCTGTGTGCCCCCCCCAACATTGTTCATGTGCAAATACTCCAAATTTTGATAAAATATGAAACACTCCTGGTTCTAAGCATTTCACACAAAGTGTGCTCAGCCCTTTCCATTTTATAAATAAGAGGACAGATGGTGGAAAGAGTTTCCTGGTTTTCCCCTTGCCACCCAGCTAATCTGTGGCAGGGCAGAGATTTGAGTCTCAGTCCCTTGATGGCCTGAACTGAACTGCTGTTTGTGTTGCTGAGACCTGACAACAGCATAGGAGAAAAAGAGCAAGTGTGCAGCTCATGGGAGGGGACCCTGACCTTTTGTAGTTGAACCTCCCGTTGTCCATCTTCATGGCCTCTGTGTGTGAGGATGGGTAAGGAGGTCTGTGTGGAATAGGGTGCTTTGTGGAAGGAAGGACAAATGTGATGCCAGACTAACCCTCTCACTGCAGGCATGGAGAAGCATATCGAAGAAGACGAGGTCCGGTCTTCAGCAGACCTGCGGATCCGAAAGTCCCAGGTAACGTTGTTTCTGGTTTGGCAATCATTTTTTTTTTTTTTTTTTTTTTTACCATTCTTTTAATTATTTTTTCTCCTTTGTGCATTTGAAAAAAAAATATGGGGGGCTGGAGAGACGACTCAGAGGTTAAGAGCACTGGCTGCTCTTCCAGAGGTCATGAGTTCAATTCCCAGCACCCACATGGTGGCTCACAACCATCTATAGTGAGATCTGTATGCACAGTAAATAAATAAATCTTTAAAAAAAAAAAAAAAGAGGAAAAAAATATGATACTATTGTATTGGAATTCAGTTTGAGGAACTGGGAAAGGGGAACCATCCAGGTTGAAGCAGTGACCAGGGCCCACTGGTCCCGTTTGGCCTTCTCTCATGCTCGAAAGGAGGCCCCTGAAGTAACCCCCGGAGACTCTTCAGAACACACCTTCAGCACTGCCTTATTTCATAGGCAAAGAAATGGATTGATGTCTTTCTTCTAAAGATTGTTAGTTAGCAGTTGCCCAGTTCGGAGTCAGGCACTTTGGAGTCATCAAAAACATGGTCCTTGTCCTATGAGAACCTGGGCATGGTGGCTCATATACATTATGCCAGCACTTGGGAGGCTGAGGCAAGAGGGCTGCCGAGACTTCAGGGCTACCTTGCTTGAGCTATGGTGTGAGAACATTAAAAGACAAAGCAGAACAAGAAAGAAAGGAGGGAGGAACCTGATGTGATGTTTAAGTGGTGCAGTAAATCTTATATAGCAGGAGGACAGTATAAGACATAATTGAATACACATTCGTCTCATCGTTGAAAGAGCTCATGGAGAACAGGGGGTAGCTGGAGAAGGCCCAGCCGTGAGTAAGCAAGAGTGCTGGGACAGGCAGGTTCAGGAGCCAGAGCTTCCTTTATTTTTGAGAGAAATAGGAAATGGGATTAGGGATGGGTATGTTTGTGCGTGTGTGTTGGCAGCAGCAGAGGAGTGGTGTTGGTGGCAGTGGGGATGAATGAAGGACAAATGTCATGGGAATAGCCTACCTCGAGAAAAGAGTTTGTAGTTGGGTAGCAGATGCTGAATTTCCAGCATATAATGGAGTGTCCAACTCCAAAGGTCTTTATATACTGGTTGAGGGAATTGGAGCTGATCCAGTAGCTGACAGTCATTTGTTTCAGTCTTCACAGCACTAGGGGGATATGATAGTCCTTTGGATGTGAGTGGAGACGAGACAAGATGCTAGGAGGTCCCTCGTTAGGCTTTTTCAGTGATTTAGCCTGAATTTACATGATAGTCGTGTGTTTAGTAAAATGAGAAATCAAGAGGGCTTGCTGCTGTGAGGTGGGCAAGGAATGAAATTATTAAAAGGGTCTGTTGAGAGAAAATGTTTATTTGTAAGCAAGAAATGTTGAGGTTGTCATTTGGGGTAAGAACTGAAGGATCTTTGGCAGGAAGGGAAGTTGACAACTTTAGCCAAGGTTATGGTGGAAAGTTGCTAACTGGGCTCTCAGGTTCTCAGTGATTCTCTCCTTTTGACTAAAAATTATGTGAGTTCAGTAAAGCAGAAAATGCGTAATAGGGATTTCACACGGTGGCAGTGGACTCCTTGTGCAGTGCCAGAGTAGGAAAGCAAAACTGGGTTTTGAATATTTTTCTTTCGGTTCCAAGCCCAGGGCGGCTGCAGAGTAGGCTGTGTCAGGGTGGGGCGGAGTTTTACACCGTCTCCAGAGGGTTTACTCATTTAACATTGTTCCCGTAGCATTCCGTGCTCTCCCGGAAGTTTGTGGAGGTGATGACAAAGTACAACGAGGCTCAGGTGGACTTCCGTGAACGCAGCAAAGGGCGCATCCAGCGGCAGCTTGAAATTAGTATGTGTTTGAAGCTGGGCCAGCGTCCCCACCTTTTCCTGCAACGTGGTTGTCCATCCTGAGTCCTGGGGGAAGCAACAATGACTCTGCTGCTTGTGCCTTCTCCATCCTCTTTGGGACTCAAACACAGGACAGATGCTGTGGGACGGTTAGATCTGTAACGTGGTAGCCTGTGTGGAATTGCAGCACATTTATTGAGCCAAGGAACTATATTGTTATGGGGTCTGACACTTCCCTTCTCTCCAGGGGAAACACACTAAATAGTTAGTCTCCTGAGAACTCGTTGCACTGTTTTGCAGTTAAATGGAAAAGAATGTTTATGAGACAAAGGTGTGCTAGTTGCTGTAAGGAATTAAAAAAAAAAATTAATAAAGGTGGCCAGAAGGTGGTGGCACACTCCTTTGATCCCAGCACTTGGGAAGCAGGGGCAGGTGGATCTCCATGAGTTTGAGGCCAGCCTAGTCTACAGAGTTCCAGGACAGCCAGGGATATACAGAAAAACCCTGTCTCAAAAAAAAAAAAAATAAAAAGTATATACTTTAGGAATTTAGTGATATGGAAGGGTATGCCTTACAAGGCAAATGGCTTCAAATGGGAGAAGCTGTGTGAACAAAGAAGCAGCAGATGTGTTTGTTTAGGAGCGGCAAGTTGTCTGGGGTTGGAAGGAGGGTGTTTGAAGTTGCAGTGCAGGAGTAAGGGATGGCTGCCCACGAACTGCACTGTGACGAGGGCCTGGGGCTCTGTGGTACCGTGGTTGGGCTAATCAGCAGTTTGATCTGGGAAGTAATGCAGTACATGCTTAGGGTGGGGGATACTGCTGATAAAGTTCAAGATGGATTAATTGGGAGACATCAGTAGAGTTGGGAGGTTGTTGTGGGCAGTTTGAGGAAATTGTAAATGGAGTTGTGCTTCAAACGTGTTTCTGATGTTGTATTTTTTTTTTTTTTTTTGTTATAAAGCTGGTAAGAAGACAACAGATGAGGAGCTGGAAGAGATGTTGGAGAGTGGCAACCCTGCCATCTTCACTTCTGGGGTGAGCGGCTGAGCCTCCATGGACACAGGGAGGGGGGTGTCGGGTGCAGCCCATGCGGGGGAGGGAGCAGTGTGAGGGCTGTGCAGGGGCACTCTGTTCCTAAGGTGGCTGATGGCCTATCTGTATGGGGCCTCCTGTAGATCATCGACTCTCAGATTTCCAAGCAAGCCCTCAGTGAGATTGAGGGTCGGCACAAGGACATCGTGAGGCTGGAGAGCAGCATCAAGGAGCTCCATGACATGTTTATGGACATCGCCATGCTGGTGGAGAATCAGGTAGCTGGCATGGAGAAAAGCACACAGTTCTTTGAGAACCACAGTTGCCATTCTGGAGGTTGGGTAGGGCAGGTATAGGGAATTTTCATCACGAAGCAACAGCATTCTAGTGTGTGGGGCAGAGGTGTGTATTCTTATGGAATGCTGGCACTTTGAGCTAACTCAGTCTTGTTCTTGCCTGCTACTTTGAGTTCACAGTGATTCTAGTTAGTCATGAAGTTTTGTGTATCAGGACAAGAACGTAGCTCACCCAGCCATAGCACTTTTTTTCTTTCCCACCTTAAAACTAAAGACATGTGTTCTTTGGCTGAATAATGTATAGTTCAGTATAGGATGCCTGCCTAACATGCATAAGGCCTTGAGTCCAAGCCATTTCCTGGCCCAGGTCTGCATAAACCAGGCATAGCAGCATAAACCTATATTCATAGCACTTGGAAGACAGAGGCAGGAAGATCAGGAGCTCAACATTATCATCTAATATAGAGCAAGTTTGAGGGGCAGCCTGGGCTACATGAGACCCACCCTTCCTAAAAAAATTAAAAGGTCTTACTGACAATACCTTGACAGTCAGTCTACTGATATGAACTATTTTACTGAAAACATTTTTTCCCCTTCTAATCCACCATAGAACTTAAAAGCAAGTTAATTTTTTTTTTCCAGTTTTGCTCTTTCACTTCTGTTTTTTTGGAGCATTTTGGCACTTTTTGCTAAGAATCAACACTAGACATGAATGAAGAATTAGAAAAATAATATTTATAGAAACACTTGGAACACTTATGTTACTTAACAGTTCATCCCAGCCATGCTTGCTCGGGGGTGGAATTCAGTTTTGCTTGCATGTGGTGTTCATTTCTGTCAGATGGTTGGTCCCTGGTTTTTGAGATAAGAGTTAGGTATCTTCAGGGTCACAGTGCTGTGCACTAAGAACGTCCAGCTGTTCAGCCATTGGGACAGAGTTGGAAACTCTTGCTTAGTAGCTAGACCGCTAAACCTAGTTGAAGCCCTAGTTGAACACTGGATAATTAGTTTTTTACATTAGTTCTCTGCCCCTTTGTTTGGTGTTCCTCTCCCATCCCCCTTTCTGGCCTTTGAGACCTCTTTCTTAATCCCTCCATTCCCACTTTTCTTTTTCCCACCATACTGCCTTTGCTGAGGATCTGATTTGAGTTTCAAGTAATGGTAAGTGCCTTGCTGTGTTTACTGAGAATCCTCAGGTGATAGGATGGGGTTGAGAAAGGTGTAGGTGGGCAAGGGAAATTCTCATCTTCAGATTCCTAGGAAGTAACTGGAGTCACCAAACTTCCTTGATGGGCAGTAAGAGCTGGGAAATGATTAGGAATGATTAGTCTTATTAAAAGACTAGAGTCTAGAAGGGAAGATATACCTCAAAGCATGTGTAGAGCCAACACTCACTGGGTAAGGGGCTTGGTCATTTCTCTTGAAGGACTTAAGTCCTTTCTACTGTTGTCAACCTGATACTTACCAAATACCTTTTATGAGCCAGGGAAGTATTTCATAGTAGTGAATAAACTCAGCTTAGGCTGAATGAACTTGGTTTGGGGTTGGATGGCTAAGAAGGGGCCACCATCCTCGTGATATTTTAAAAATATGACGTTTTCTTATTTTGGTTCAGCCCTATATGCATAAAAAATAGGAAAATTAAAAGAAAATTTTGGAGAGGGAATTTCCTTGTGTATATTTAATAACACATAGTTATTAAGCTTAGTAAAACTGCTTCAGATGCTTAGTATAGTGCTGATCTCAAGGAAGTAATCCAGTAGTTATTTGAATGAGTGACCACTAGGACTGGGGAATTAGAGGTCATCACACAGGAAGTAGGAAAGTTTTCTCTACACAAAGTTGTGCTCTAAGGTTTCTGTCCACAACTTGGCACTGAACACTATACAGTCCCTTCCCCACATTAGTTGGAGCTGTTGTGGATGGGTTAACAGGTGTGGCTGTGTCTTCTTTTCAGGGTGAGATGTTAGATAACATAGAGTTGAATGTCATGCATACAGTGGACCATGTGGAGAAGGCTCGGGATGAAACTAAAAAAGCCGTGAAGTATCAGAGTCAGGCTCGGAAGGTGAGGTTTTCCTTCTGTCTTCAGACAGCAGAGACCGTTTTGTTTGCTACTGCACTTTTCTGTCTCTCCTCTTCCTGTCTGTTTCTGTTGCCACCACATCTTGAATCTGGGGAAAGGGAGCCATGATTGACCGTATTGAGAACAACATGGACCAGTCAGTGGGCTTTGTGGAGCGGGCTGTGGCAGATACCAAAAAGGCTGTCAAGTATCAGAGTGAAGCCCGGAGGGTGAGCGCCTCAGGCTCTGCTTGTTGTGTCTTCTCTCCCTGTCTCTTGTCGCCTTTATACCTCTGTTCTTGAGACCATGTCCTTTGTCTCTGTCCTAGCCTTAGCCTCTTCCAATCCCCTACCTTAGCCTTTCCTAGAGACTTCCTTCCTTCCTTCCCGGGTACCTCGCATGGATCTGGCTCTCACATGTTTTGGCCCAAGAACCCACACTTGAGTAGCCCCGTGGGCTGGATACATGGCCTAGGTCTTGTCACTAATCTCTTGAATGCAGCTCATGAACCCTTATATTATATAGCTCCTCCGATCTTTAGAAAACATGGTCCTCCATTCTGCCCACCATTCTTTTTCTCTAACTTGAGCCTAGCACTGTTGCTAATTGTTATATAAAAGTTACCACACATTCATGGAAGTACTTCCTTTCTCTTCTTCTAGTTGAAATATTTTGAGGGTCAGAGGCCACTTAGGAGTATAGGAGGTGGGCCTGCCATTCACACCCCACTCATACTCTTTCCAGTGTGTCTTGAGTCTGCCTTTCCTCTTGGCCCTATGCTCAAGAACATTGAAGCTCTGTCCTCACTGGCTGTGGATGTCCAGTTATGGCAACTTCTGCCTTTTAAAAAAAATTTTTTTTTTTACTTCTCTTAGGCTCTGATATTCTTGTTCTTTAATTCTTTCTCTTCCAACTGCACCTATTGCTTGTGCAATTATTCAGGGAGCTAGCATGAATCACACTTTGGACACCCATTCAGTAAATGTAGTCTGAAGTATGTAACTGGGGTTTTAGGAGGACAGATGAATACAAGTTGGTAATTAGGACTATGTCAGAGATATCTTCATATGTCCTGTTGAATAGGCAAACTTAGACATTTCATGGATTGGTGATGGGCTGCTTAGAGATCTGATGGTACTGACTGCCAGGAGTGTACATATGTAACCTGTAGTACACACCATTTGTACTTGCTGGCACTGCTAGGTAGGAAATTTAAGAAATGAAAAATTCCATGAGAACATTTTTATATAGCAATGTATACGTCTTGGATTAAGATTTTATTTTTTTAAAGAGATGAGAAAGGCTGAATTTTAGATGAGTTGCTATTACTTTTTTTTTGTAATAATGATCTTATTTTTGCTTTTTATTCCTTTCTCCAGAAATTGATAATTATCATTGTGGTAGTAGTTGTGTTGCTGGGCATTTTAGCGTTGATTATTGGACTTTCCGTTGGGCTGAAATAAGAGTGGCCTAAGGGGCTGCTGCACTGAAATGTAAGTAGATGAATGCTTCTGGGGAGTCTGGATTGGCTCCTCCTGAGGAATTAGTGTGGGCTGTAATAATTCTACTCTGGTCTAATGACTGTCACAGTGAACTTTGAAACTGCTGGTAGCCTCAATTCTTTCATTTTCTTAAAATTCCGTTCTTGGGTTCTGGCTGCGGAATATGGGTCAGGTCTTCTGTTTTTGTAGCCTGAAGATTGTTTCTACTTTATCTTGTCACTTAGCACCTTATTCTACTCTCTGTACCCAGGAGATATGGGTAGATGCTGGGTGTAATCTGGGAACTTGTTTTCCAAATTCTCAGCAGCTCTCACGGATGCTGGGCTTTACTTTCCTCATCCTTTTCAACATAGCTGAAGCTTTACACTGCAGCCTCAGGCCTTATGTTTGTGACTGAATGGTTGGCTTACTGAATAGGTACTTGATAACATTTAAAGTGTTGAGACGTGGCAGAGAGTCTGCCAAACACCATTTTACATATAGCAGAATACTCACAACATTCTTGTGGGACAGGTAGTGTTATTTTGGAAGTAGAAAAACTCAAATCTCAGAGCTACACAGCTAATAGTAGACCTAGGAGAGTGCTTTACCACACCTTAGCTTCCCTTTATAGAACAAGGTCGTTTTTTCTTTTGTCTACAAGGACAAAAGAACTCTAGGCTATCAACCAAGATGTAGTAGGACATAACTGGCTAGGAAGTCAGGCTTAGTGGTGAGCATCATAAAGATGATCTAGTAGTCCTTGGGACTTAAGAACATTCTTTTTTTTTTTCTGAATAAAATATAAAATGGAGTATATGTTATTTTAAAAGCTTTTGAGATATAGACAAGTGAAAGTTATCTTGCAATATTATTTCTGTTACTATGTGGCAGGCTCATACACAGTTTTGTGTAGTTCAGACTATACTAACTATATAGTGCTTTTATCCAGTTAGAAAATCATAAGGACCATTATTTATCCCTAAAATCTTATTGTAAATCTAATTTTCAACATGAGGACATTTTGCATTTTCTCAGTGTTGGAGTTTATATTATTTTGCTATCATTAAGTGTGATGAACTTTGTATTTTTCTTTTCTTTATTATAAAATCAGAAATTACATTACTGAAGTAGCAGGCATGAACCTTTTTGAGAGCTGATATAGATTTGCATGTCCAGCCTTAGGTTTGTCTCTGGGCTATTTCAATTTTGTGTTGATTTCTGCATGCTCTATTTTGTAGACATTTCTGATCTTTGATCTCCACATTTGGGGTTTGTGGCCAATTCATCTTGTTCCTTAGCATTGTCCTGTATACTGATCAGCTCCCCTCTCCTTACCTCTCTTAGAACCAGATTTCACTCCAGCTTGGCCTGACCACTCTTGTCTCCAGATGGGAACAGAGTCTGAGTGGCCTTCCTAAGAATGAGGGGCACCTGTTCCTTTTTTTTCCCTGTAACCATCCTTGGACCTGGCTCAGCAAGCAGTCTACCCCTGGAGGAACCTAGACTACCTGATGCAGTCCTGAGTCTCCTCAAAACCACCTCCCACCCTAGCAGCTGAAGTATCCTCCCTTCTGGACTGTGTGAAGCAATCCAACATTCCCTCCCTCTGGTGTGTCAATTATGCCTTTTGCCTTGGAAAATCCCTGTGAGACCAGCCCGAGGCACTGTATTTCTACCTCATGGAATTTCTCCTGGAATATACTTTGTAGAGGAGTAACTAACAAAGTAGAGGGGTTCTTCCAAGTTTGACTTAGATCAGAGCCCCTTGCTGGCAGGAAGCCAGTCTTTTGTCCCATATCCTGAAAACAGGAGGGACTAACAGATGCCATTTAGCCTTATAATTTGGCTTATTTGAAATTCACCCTCTAACTAAGCTCTAACTTCAGCTTGTTGGCCACTTTGATTTTTCTCTGTATTTGCTCGTTTACTCAGAGGGATCAGGGTGACAGTCCTTGGAAGCTACCATAGGCAAAGACTGACGTTATGGAATATGCTTCCATGTCTGAGTCTTGGAAACTGTTAGAGAATTGCTCTTTGTGAAGCCATTACCTTGAGGCCAAACAGAACCAGGGATTTATAACTGGTCCAGGGACAAGGTGCTATAGTCTCAGGCTCTGGAAATGTCAATCATTTTTGTGTTCCAGGTGTACTTTTATAACTATGTATGTGAGAGATATGTACATAATTGTCTGCCTCTCAGGAAGTAGAAAAACTAGAAGATACTATAACCTCAGAAAAAAAAATAAAGTGATAAAGGTAAACAGAGATTGGCTAAAAGCAGGTAAGGAATATATGCTTACCTCAAGTGAATCATTGTAGAAATATGATTCCCACCCTCCCCTCCCCTTTGCCACCAAGAAGCTTGTTTTCTGGATGGCTGCTGAAACGGGAATCAATTGAGACCTTTGGAGTAAGGACTGAGTTGATTCCCACTGAAGTTTTCTGCACAGCAGATAGAGAGCGTAGTTTACCCCCATCTGCTGTCTACAAGAGGGTTGTCCAGGGAACATCTTGCAACTATCAGATGTTATCTGCACTATCTATGTGATGTCTCCCTCTGGCAGGAGACTTGGGAGGCTATAGGATAGCCCTTCCTGCTCTCTCTCGTCTCCTGTTATTCTTATCATGGAGGCAACAGCCTGGAAGTCTTTGTTTAGTGATTGCAACCCAGTGGTAAGCCTTAGACCTTTGGTGGTCCCTGCCAGTATCCCTTAATTTGGGTATTTAAGCCCCGAATTTGATGTTTTGTGAGACAGGGTGAGCATTCTAATCTAGGCCCTGCCTATGAGCTTCCTTTGTCAAGGCTCCTTCTTCAGTCACCCAGCACTCAAGACAGAGCCAAAGGGATGCCCTCCTCCCTATGGCTGTGATGTCTGGCAGGACTGGCTCCAGCTAGGAGGGCAGGCAGTCCTCAGTGCAGGCTTTTTCTCTCCTCTGATGAGTCCAGGAGCTGAAAGTTTGAAATGCCACATGTGAAAGGCTTTTGTTGTTTGTATTTTTTAAATGTAAACTTGATTATTTTATTGCTAATTTAAAAATAAAATGAATTTATATTGATTACAAAACAGCTCTGGGTCTATCTCTCTGCAAAATGCCTTAGATTTGGTGCCACCATGTGGCGACTTTTGGTTCCCTGGAGACAACTGTCACTTGCTCTAGTTAGGAAGTAGATCTGTTGGGATGCTATCCAGAAGGCAGAAAGGACAACACACAGATCCTTGTGGATATGATTTTAAGTCTCTAAGCTGGAAACTTTCCTATGAATAAGCCAGATCCATCCATTTTCCTCTGGCATCCCCTTTCCCTTCCTTCCCTCTTCCATGTTTAGCTGTACCTGTTTCCTTTTCGTCAGAATGTGTATGTGCACAGTGATGCCATTTCTCATGTATTTCTCTCTCCTTGTGATGAGCAGAAGAAGATCATGATTATGATCTGCTGTATTATCCTTGCCATCATCTTGGCTTCTACCATTGGGGGCATATTTGCCTGAAGAAGGTGAGCTGTCTGGGGAGGGGCAGGCCTGCTGTCACTTAACTTGACAGACTTATATTCTGGGTGTATGCCACCCCGGTTACAGAATAAGGAGTAGGTAAGAATAAGGAGTAGCTGAATGTTAGAGAAAAACAAGGAAAGGGATATTTTGGAGTAGATGAAGAATAATTGGGAGGAGGTAGTGAGGGAGGGAGATGGGGAGACAAGGTAGCAATTTGCCTGACTGAGGCTAATTGTATGGTGATTCTCAACAGTGAGGATGTTTGTTCTTGTTGTACAATGTGAACCCTTGTATCTGGAAATGGTAAAAGGGCATTGAACTTGCCTTAAAACCCCTGCTTCCAAGGCTAGAACAAGCTGGTGCAGTTTTGAGAGAAGTTTCTCACCCCTGCAGGAGAGGTGGTATCCTGGTCATGAACACCATGCTGTGTAATATATAATTTTTCCTTTCCATTTTCTGTTACTTCCTCTGCCCTCACAGATGGAATCTCAACAGGCATCTCCAATCTTCCACCTCTGTGGTGCCATCACGTCTCCCCTTCAGAGTCCTCATCAGCTCTGCCTCTTTTCATTAGGAAACTTACAACACAGGGCACCAATCAACTGCTTATTAAATGTCACAAACAGGGGAAACAAATTAATGAAAATGTGGAGTTGAGGCGGGTAGGGATGAAGGAACAGGGAGCCCAGCAATATAAAGTTGGCTTAGATGGCCCTTAAAGGGCAGGCCTGCATTTTAGAGAAACATAATGGGTCCCTGTTTAGGGCACAACACCCAGAGTCTGAATGCCAGGATGGTAGTGAAGAAGCAGGTATTACAGCATGCCCAACTTAATAGGGTCTTAATCAAATTCTGTGAAGCCATCTCTCAGATCATGGTACTCACTACTTCTACACTAAAGGCTCTTCAACCTTAACCAACCAGTTGTCTGCTTCCCTCTTCAGGTCCAAGATTAGTTTTTAATGCAGACGTTGCTTAAGGATAGGCACCATGCCTGTCTTAGACACTACTGTGTCCCTACTGCTTAGCACACACAGTGCCTCCACTTCCAGAAACCTGCTTACTTGTAGTCTAGCTTTGATGTCCTTCATGGATGAGTCCTTGGGCTTAGCTTTTAAACTCTTTAAGGTATCATTGGGAACGTAGTTGATTAGTATCAGATGTAGATGCAAAAATATAACAACAACCCCCTATTACCATATCATACATTTTAAAGTGTTTTGCTTTTGTTTTGGGGGTGGTGGTGATGGTAAGTAGAGGTTGGGTTTCTATCAGTGGTGCAAATTTCTATCTATAGCCTCTCATTTGGCAGAGATGGTGGTTAGTCTCAGGATGGAGGTTCACTCACTAAATTCATTCCTCCAACAAAAGAAAGTTTATTCTATGCTTCAGCTTCCAAACCAGCATACTCTGTTACCCAGAACAACGAGAGAAAGAGTAATGAGGCTGCTCCTTCAGCCCTTACCAGGTCTGTGTTAGCAGAAGCTACAGATCAGTGACATGTACAAGAAACTGGTCCAAGCACGCCTGCAATTCAAGGTCTTACTGTGCTTCACTTGAAAAAATAATTTGTTTAGAGATTATTACATTGTAAGACACTCAGTAAGATAAATTAAAAATCTGGTCTAACTTTTGAAAGTAAGTAAAATACTTGTCTGTTCTTTGCTGGAGATCTTATTTGTTAAGAAGCAGGATAAGAACCAATGTTTTTACCAGTGTGCCATTCCCTACCTATCTTCAAAAGCAAGTGGTTTATACTTCTATCAATTCCTGTTTCCCTGAATGTGAATAGGGGATGCTGGTTTGCTCAGAACAAGATTAATCTTGTTATGGACAAATGGAGTTGGAACTATGAAGTTTTGGAACACATGGGACCTTCATTTATCGAGCAGAAACATGTGTGGTCCACATACATTAGATCCTGAAGGGACAGAGCCAAAATGCCCCTCCTTAGATAGTTTCAGATCTGTAAGCACAATGGATTTCTACTTTTGTTATGAGTTCTTTTGCTAAAAGGTACATTCCTTGTCATATTCCATGTATCCCCTTCTGAGACTGACAGAAGATGGGCAGCTGGGCATTAATAAATATCTGTTGAATCTACTAATCATTACTGTCATTTTTATCCTTATAATTAAAAATGCATTTGTAATGAGCAAAATGTCATAAACTAGGCTGTGTACATATTTACATTTCCAGAACCTTGAGGTACAAAGACAAGTTTCATCTCTGGAGGCATGCAGGAACTAAGAGTTCCTATATGGCCTTTTTTTTTTTTGAGACAGGATCTTGCTTGTAGCTGTGGATGACCTTGAACTCAAATGAGATCTTCCTGACTTTGCCTCCTTAGTGCTGGCATTAAAGAAATGCCCTGCCACACCTGGCTATGCAAATTGTCCTTAATCTCTTAAGCAACTGAAACTGACCAAGGAAAAGTTGTACCCCAAAGTTACACTCAAACTTTAATTAGAAACACTCAGATAACAGTTTTTCAGAAGTCACTTACTGATGTGCTTAGTTAAGATCCAAGAACCATCAAAGATCCTAAGGACAATAAAGATGCAGATTCTTGCTCAAGAGTCTGTGCACATGTGTCTTCACTACACACGCTTAGGCAAGTAGAATTTGCCCCAATATTTCCCTTTCTGTGTCAAGTCATATGGGCTCAGGAATTTCCGTATGCCAAGCATATTGGCAGTGGCTATGCGCTCAAAGGTCCAGGGATTTTGGTTGTTCTGTTCTTTTTCCTTTTGATCTTGTTGCATCTTTTCTAGAGTCTGACGGCTCACAGCCTTTGCTGGAAAGGGCAGCTTGTGTGCAACTTGGTTCAGAAAACCCTGTACCTCTTTAAATTCACAGCGTCCACCCATCTCTACTATGAGGCGGCCAGTCTTCACAGGGGTCACATAGTGATCAATGGCACCTTTACCTCCCCCCCATGCGCTGCCCAACACCTTTGCGAGTGATGGGCTTGAAAGGAGCTGGTACTCGCCATATGGCAAACATATTCTTGGGATCCATAGAACGGTTGATTGTCAGGCGTATCATCTCAAAATGGCCCCAGTGGAGATAACCACCTCCTAGTGCCTGAAAATGAATAGAAAAATCAAATCACATGGGGATTTAGAAATATTATGGAGTCTCTTAGCATGCTTCTTTTTTATAGTAAGTGGCTTTAATGATACACATGGAAAATAAACATAGAAGTCCTAATTAGTAATATGGAGGAGACACCCAGGGACAGTAATAGAGAACATCAAGGTAGAGTCACTCCCATTGGAGAGCCCAGGGAAGCCTTTTTGTACATATGAGAGTTAAAGCTGAGGACAGAATCCTAAGAACTAGTCAAGAGAAAGAGAAAGAGAGTCCCAGGCAGAGAAACACTGATGTAAACACCCTGACACAGCAAAGGGCTTGCTGAGCTTAAGTACAATCAGTGTAGCTGGGGTCCAGGAGGAATGCAGAGTGGGCGTAAGGCTCTGAAAGGTCAGCAGCAGCACTTGGGTAGAGTGCAGGCCAGGGGAAGAAGAATTTACAGCCATCACTCTGGCTGCCTGATAGAGCAGAAATGCTAGTGCATATCCACATGTGTGGCTACTGACATTAATCTTTATGGAAACCACCCAACCAGTAATAAAGCAGCTGCTGCTCTAATCCTCAGCCAGGAACACTTCACTTTTAGCAGAAGCTTGAAAAGATCTCATTCTTACTGGGCAAATGAGGCAGCACCTTTGTTCCGTGCTTTTACAGTAGTCTTCCCTACTCCTTCTATAGTTTCAACCCATCTGAAATAGTGGAGATCCTGGTGGAAACAACTTACAATTTTAACTAAACACTTTTTGGAGTAGCAAGATAAAAATCTAGCTTTTATACAGTTTTTATACAAGATAAAAATCTTGTTTTATACAGTTTCACCTAGATATGAATCACCTGTTCAGTGTATACCTCTTGTATACACTACCTGCCTGTTGGTTGCTTAGTAGCTACTAGGTTATCAGATCCACTGGGACACTATCAAGGGCTAGCAGACAGAATTCAGTGCTAGTCACACTCTCAAGCATCCAGTACATGATTACTGTGTTTCAATCCTACACCAAAGAAGACATATATAACTCATGTTTATTTGGGTGCCCAGCAGCCTTGATCCACATCTATTTTTATTTTTTATAATTTATTCACTTCCTATTCCAATTGTAGCCCTTCCCTGATCTCCTCCTAGTCTTACCTTCCGTCTCTCCCTCCCTCCCAGAAAGACACACATGGTAGATACTCACTTATAAGCAGATATTAGTATATAATACAGGATAACCATACTATAATCCACAGAACAAGGACCTTAGGGAGGGCCTCCCTAGGGCAAATAGGATAGACACCAGAAGCAGTAGAAGAGAGGGTACTGGACAGAAGCCTACTATAGAAGTTCTCTGAAAGACTCCACCCAGCAGGGAATTTCATGAAGCAGATGCCGAGACTCACAGCCAAACTTTGGACAGAGCACAGGGAGTCTTATGGAAGAATGGTCTGGGGGGATGGGCAGGGGAGATAGAAGGATCTGATGGGGACAGGAGCTCCACAAGGAGACCAATAAAGATCAAAAGTCTGGGCCCAGAGGGGCCTGCAGAAACCAACCAAGGACCATGCATGGAGAGGACCTAGACCTCCTGCTCAGATGTAGCCCATAGGGAGCTCAGTCTCCATGTGGGGTTCCCTAGTAAGGGAAACAGGGGCTGTCTCTGATCCACATCTATTTAAGAGCAACAGGAATGTAGCATGTAGGTGTGGCAGTTCTAATAAGTGCAGAGGAAGAGACAAATCAACTCAAAGGGTAGAAAACTTTGTTAATCTCTTTTGTCACTCACCAAAATTGCAAAATTGCCTTCTGTGAATTCAGTGGCTTCAGTTGAAGGTCCTCGAATGTCCGTCAGATTTTTAGGTTCTCTTCTTACTTTTGGCACAAGTGGGGCCCTTTCAACAAATTTAAGCTTGGGCCTTTCAGGGATGGAGACATCTAGCAGGAAGAAAGGCAACAAGAAATAGTGAAGCTATGCTACTCGGAGGATCTGCTTTCTCCCTATGAAGAGTCACACCAATCAAGTGGAAGTCTTAGGTTACAGAATAATAATTCCAGTGGTTACTATTCTCCTGTAGATGTTTCCACTGATACTGGGATCTTTCAGCTATAATAATATAAATGTTTCTAACCAATTCACTTATTAACCCCTGCTCTATGTTCATTTAGCACCTGTAACAGGGACTGTTCTAAATTAGTATTTCATTCACCGTTAAAGCAGCGTCAGTATTTTGAGAGTCTCCCCCCGCCCCCACATCATGACTTAGGCAGCTCCCCTTGTATTAAGGCTGAATGAGGCAATCCAGTATGAGGAAGAAGGTCCCAAAAACCAGCAAAAGAGTCAAAGACAGCCCCTGCTCCCACTGTTAGAGGAGTCTCACAAGAAGACCAAGCTGCACAACCATAACATATATGCAGAGGGTTGATACAGTCTTAATGGGTGTCAGCTGATCACCATGTAACCTTAAACTTGCAAGCAGTACTGGGCTGAGTGTGTATCTCACCATGCATGGCAATCTTTATAGTTTTTAGGGTTTCTTTTTTAAAAGTTTGAAGTTATGAACCACATTAAACAGAAAAAGAAGCAAAAATACAAAGTGAAGTATTAGAAATTGGAAACAAGGGGCCTGTGAGATGTCTCAACTGGTAAAATGCACCTGCAGTCAAGCTTGCCCATTGGAGTTGGATCCTTAGGGCCCACATGGTGGAGGGAGAGAACTGACTCTATAAATTGTTTTCTGACCTCCACATACGTGCCATGGCACATGTGTACCTACACATGTACATGCATACAAAATAAAAATAAATAAAAAAAAATTGGAAACAAGAACACATAAGTTTTGCCTAGAACAAGAAACAGGTAATTGGGCAGGTGGTATTCAAATCTCCATTTTAAAAAAGAAGAACTTACGGTGTAGAGACATTTCACAATTAACTCAGTCAACACAGAGCATGTTCTTCATTGCCCCTCTGGATGCTAACAGGGATACAGAAAACTACATCGTATAAAAATTAAGTTCTTCAATTGTGCTGTATTTTCTTGGGAAACTTACAACCTAGGATTTCTCTGATCAGTATTTTCACATCTTTATCCTCTTCATTTGACAACTTGGGAAAAACAATTGTGATTCATAAAAAAATTAAATGTGAAAAATGTATGGCTCCACGATAGAAATAAAACAGGAAGCCTCAAAGATTCATGGAATTGTCAGTGAAATTACAAAATTGCTATTCCAAGTTACAATCTCCCCCACTCCCAACTTCTATGGGCAACTACTGTGAAGCCTGGTAATGCTTTCTTTCACCTACAACTTGGTATGCACTTCCAAGAGCACACAGCATTTTATTAAAATTTTATGGGTGTTTTGCCTGCATGTACTGATGTGCAGTTCCCGTGGAACTGGAATATGGATGGTTATGAACCATCGTGTGGGACCCACTGAACCTGGGTCCTCTGCAAGAGCAACACGTGCTATTAAGCTATTAACCGCTGAGCCATTGCTCCAGTCCGTACAGTAGTTTAACAATTATGTGCAGAAGACCCTCTGAGGTCCAGGCCGTCTGTACTTTTGGAGTTTTTAGTATAAAAAAAGTAAAGTTAGATTTACAGGATTGCAACTCACCTGGTCACTACTGCTAATTGTCTGCATGTATGTACTGTCACTTAGAAGATAAAAAGTCTAGTTAGTGCCCAGTTAGCCGTCACTGGGTAGATCATGGGCTATATATCAGTGGCAGGATGGCTGGGAACGAACCCAACAGGTATGTGTTCCAAAGCAGCGAAGAACTTTTACGGTTTCTTTTGTTCGTTGCTTCCAGTGCTTAGAACATAGCTTGGCAGCACAGCATGCCCTCATTACATTTATTTTGTTGAATCACTCAACGGATATAGGAAGCACAAGATCACCTATGATGTCTTTATCATCCGCTGGGTTTTAGCAGATAAGTAAATGACAGGCACTCACCTTCAAAAGTGGGCACTGGGAGGAATGTCTTCAGACCAGCACTGGTGGGAAGGGCTGCCCAAGAATCTACAAAGATGAATCAAGCCAATACTGTTAATTCTGGATCATTCCTGACAGAGGTGTCTGGAAGCATGGGGGCGCGAGTTCCACTAAGAGGGCTCCCCAAAGAGCTAGTAGGGTCCCGGAGCACCGTCTCCCTCACATGAGCGGGATCCAGGCATCCCCAGAGTGGGGGTGGCGAAAGGAAAGCTCAGGTCCTATCAGAGTAAGCGTATACTTTGGAGTGTGGAGAGGAAGAAGAGGGGAATGACTTTTTAAAAGACCAAACAGGTCTTCTGACCTGAAAAGTGAACCCGCAGGAGCGGGGCGGGGGCGCGCGTCAGCAGCCTCCACATGGTCACGCGCGTGAGGCTGGGTGAGGCTTCCCTCTGCGACAACAGTAGCTTCCCTCAGTGAAGGCAGAACTCAGTCGGCCTGAATGCGCACAGGACCGGAAGTGACGTTGGCTAAGGGCCACTTCTTTGAGAGTCCCGACGGAAGCGGAGGAAACTTGGGCCTAGTACCTGGTTCCGGAGCAAATGTCTGCCGGCTAAATGGCCCTGAAAGCCAAGCCATGCCGAAGGTGTTTCATGTCGCTGTGAGGGTGTCTAGTTTTTCCTGCGTAGTCGTGGCTCAGGGTTTTCACCTTGGTCTAGAAGTCTGTGAAAGCCCGAGGTTTGGTAGGCAAGTTGTTTCCTTAATTTTCGCTACAGTATGTCCCTTCTCTAGAGGACCTTAGAAAGATACCATTGATTTGTCATTGCCTTATTTACTGGATGCTTGCAGAGTTTGGTCCTGACAAATCCACGAGAAGAGCTGTAGCTGGAGTTTTCAAGGTAAAAAGCACAGGCTTGGGCAGTCCCAACTGGCTGGTTTGATCACCTGTCTCCAATATGCCAATTAAAGAGAGAGTAACGGTGAAAAGCTACTATTCCTTTAAGGTGGCTTCACTTTGAATAATAGATGAAGGGGTAGATCCTTAAGCAGTTCTGGCTGTCCTAGAACTCACCATGTAGACCAGGCTCGCCTCACCTGCCCCAGCCTCCCCAGTCCTGGGATTAAAGGCATGTTCCGCCACACCCGGCAGCTTAAATTTAATTAGAGGACGAATTGGAGCATTGGGTTGGGAGCTGGCTAAAAAGTATGCATATTAAGCAGTCCTTGTCAAGACTGATCTTCGCCTCAGTTCTGGTTTGGCATGGTGGTGATCTCAAACTGGCACAGTTTAACAGGATCAGTCTGTTTCTGTAAGAGAGCAGTTCTGTTTCAAGATGCGGTAGTAGACTAAAGTCTTCACAAAAGAGGGGCATTGTCTGTCTTCAAGTCTTTTCCTTCAAGAAATCTAATAGAAGGGGCTGGAGAGATGGCTGGGTAGTTAAGAACACTCTGCTGTTCCAGGATGGAGGATAGTGAATGGACCACACAAAAATAACAAAGGGAAGTGAGATAATGCATAATTATCGTTTTGGAAATGTTAGGCACACCATTTTTCAGGAGGAGCTTTGTAATGATTAGAACAAGAGGATTTGTATCCAAGCTTTAAGGACTCAAATGGGATTGGCAAATGAGACTGATGTTTGTTGTGTTTAAGTCGTGTTAAATCCGTGTGCCCTTAAGAATTAATTTCACAAACAGTAAATACATCCTATAATGCTTGTAGATATACTGGGAGAATTGCTTAGAAATCTACACACCTGTGCAATGAATCTGCTTCCCAAGTGTTAATGGACTTTACAAAGCCACCCTAAGAACACAATTTTACAGGAGCCCCACAAGGAGAGCAATAGAACCAAAAAAAATCTGGGCACAGGGGCCTTCTCTGAGAGTGATACTCCAACCAAGGACCATGCATGGAGATAACCTAGAACCCCTGCACAGATGTAGCCCATGGCAGCTCAGTCTCCAAGTGGGTTCCCTATTAAGGGGAACAGAGACTGTCTCTGACATGAACTGATTGGCCTGCTCTTTGATCATTTCCCCCTAAGGGGGGAGCAGCCTTACCAGGCCACTGAAGAAGAAAATGCAGCCAGTCCTGATGAGACCTGATAGACTAGGGTCAGAAAGAAGAGGAGGACCTCCTCTATTAGTGGACTTGGGGAGGGACATGGGAGGAGATGAGGGAGGTTGGGATGGGATTGGGAGGAGATGAGGGAGGGGGCTACAGCTGGGATACAAAGTGAATAAACTGTAAAAATAAATTAAAATAATGAAAAGTAAAAAATATATAAAGAGTTTAAACTGCAATGTCTGAAGCATTAGGGATACCTATGGAAGCTATGAATCTATGAAAATCTTGGCATGAAGTACATTGTACTTTGTTGAATACTGCAAAAAGTTTTATAAACCAGTCATTTCCAATAAAGAGAATTCAGTTTTTAAATGTTTATAAAATGTCCCTTCCATGTTATGCCAGGCAATGTTAAGAGCTAGACACATAATAATAAGCAATGAGATGGCATACAAAAAAAAATCCACAATTTAAACTTGTTCACCTTTGTAAAGAGCACGTTCCCTCCTTCCCTGGCAAAAAGCCACATTTCAAAGAACAAGGAAGGGGGTTAGGACTCCAACCTTTTAAAAAAGAGATGTAATTAATTCCACAACAGGTGCCACTCATCCAAGGAAGGTCAGCAGAAGTGCTTGATCAGAGGCCAGCAAAAATCTTGATTGGGAGGAGTCTAAAAGTAGGAAATAGAGACTCCCTCCTTCTTGTCTTATTTTCACTATTATCTCTCTTCTTAAAGTAGCACTGAGCTGAGGGAAAGTTTTTTCCCTAAATTTAATCCAGTGTTGTATTATGCAGTATTGAGCATTTAGGTTTTGAAACTATGTAACTATAAGGAACAATTTTACAAAAATGCATTTGCATGGATGTGCAGGTGCCCACACTTGCCAGTAGAGGGCGCTGTAGTCCCAGGTGCTTGTAAGCTGCCCATAGGCAAGGGAACTGAGTAAGGTCTTCTGAAAGAACAGTGATAGCTCCTTAACAGTTTAGCCGTCTCTCTAGCCATTAGCAGTTGCCATTTCTAAATGGAAGAGTAATGAAGAAACACAACAGCAGCCACAGACAACAAAATATCAGCCCCACACTTTCTGGATAAAGGCAGTGAAGAAAAACTGGGTAAAGTAGTAGACTAAAGTTGATGTCTGATAGCATCTTCCAGTCTAATGAATTGTGAGTCACACAGTGGTGACAGGCAGCTCTCATCCCTTTGTTGATAAGCGATATCAAGTTTCCTCTGATTCTTTTGATTTCAACATTTGTGTTTTGCTTGTATGTATGCTAGTGTGTTTTTCATATGCACATGCTCTCTTTTATCAACTCAAAGCTGCTTGTTATGTCTCTCATATGCAGATTCTCGATTTTAATTTGTGTGTGTGTTGAAACCAGAAAGGGGACCAATGGGGAGAGAGGTCTTAAGGGAGAGTCAGGGAGGGGAGAAAAACAAAACAAAAAAAGCGGATAACAGAATACATAATGACATGAAAGCAGGAGAACGTGAGGAAAAAGGAAGTACCAGTAGGAGATGGGGTCTACTTGAGGCGGGGGAGAGGATCAACAAAAGGAGAACATGTGTGACCACCCCATAAGGAAGCCCATCACTCTGTATACTAATTTAAAAATAATGTACTTATTTTAAAACCTTTTGTTATGTGTTGGGTTTTGCCTAGTTGTATAGATTGAAATCATGTTTTCCAGTCTGCAGTCTTGCCATTTCTGTCTCTTTCTATTTGGTTCCAGTTCCATAAGAGGGTGTTGTACTTGACTACGTACTTGTCCTTGACATAGGCCACTTTCACACCTAGTCAAAGGCACATATGACTGTGTACACATCTTACTTGGGGAAAGCATCTTTCTGTCTCTCCCCCTTCCTCTCCCCAGCATTACAAAAATATATGTAAGTGACTACTCCAAAGTTTAGGCTTTACCGTCTGTGGCCATTAGAGGGCCCAATATGCCCTTATAGTCAGACATCTAAACCAAGTGTATTTTTTTTAAATTTATTTATTTATTCACTTTACATCGAGATTGATCCTAATCCCTCCCTTCTCTCCTCCTATTCCCACCCTCTCTCCCTCTTTCTCCTATACCCCCTCCCTTATTCCTCAGAAAAGGGGGGCCCCACAACCCACCCCAGCATATCAAGTTGCATCAAGACTAAATGGATTCTCTTCCCCTTTTCCCTCTTCCCCTCTTCCCCTCTTCCCCTCTTCCCCTCTTCCCAGGTGGCCTGGCAGGACAGCTCCACCAGGGGGAAGTGATCAAAAAGCAGGCAACAGAGTTCATATTAGAGAAGCCCTCACTCCCCTTACAGGGAACCCACATGAAGCCTGAGCTGCACATTAGCTACATCTGTGTAGGGGGCCTAGGTCCAGTCCTTGTTTGGAGGTTCAGTCCCCGTGAGCCACCCCCCTCCCCGGTGGGGGCCCTGGATAGTTGCCTCTGTTGGTTTTCTTGTGGAGCTACTGTCCCCTCCAGGCCCTTCTCTTCTCCCTCCCACTCTTCCACAAGTCTTCCTTCTCTCCACCCAATGTGAGTCTCAGCATCTGTTCCAATCTGCTCTGGGGGAGCCTCTCGGAGGACAGCAATGTTAGGCTCCCATCTGCAAGCACAGCAGAGTATTGTTAATGAATTATGTAATCACGAGCGTGTGCATGTGTTTGTGATCAGTTAATTTTTTTTTTTTTAATTTCAGTTGGTATGTTTTTGTAGGCATCTTCTTTTAAACAATGTGCATATTTTAAAGGTTCTCTCTGCTTCCCTTTCTTTTCTTTCTGAGGGTATGCCCCAGCCTGGATTCTGCACCCTCATATGTGTTGGGATGACAATTCTTTAACTTTTTCTAGACTAAGGCTAGACCAGGCTTCTCTTTACCATTGAGGAAACTGGTGTTTTTAGGTCAGTCGGTGTGTTTTTTACAGGCATGTACGGAATGGTGGCTCAGAGTCTTTTGGTTTCCAATCTAGATTTCTTCTCACACTGTTTGAATACTATTGCTTGATTTTTGTGTATGTTTGGTTTATGTGGGCGTACATGTTTGGGTGTGCCTGTCCATGTGTGCACACGTGGAGGCCAGGGACCAGCATCAGCTGCTTGATAACCTGTGCTCCATCTTAGTCTCTGAGGCATGGTCTCTAGCTGAAACTGGATCCTTTTGTTTAGGTTAGACTGATGGGGAAGTCAGCTCCTGGCACGTGCCTGTCTCTTTTTCCTCAGTACTGGTGTTGTGGACCAGCACTGCTACTACTGGGACCACATGATCCCACGCCTGACTATTTTAGGTGGGTTCTGGGGGTCCAGACTTAGTTCTTCATGACTGCACAATGTGCACTTTCCCCACCAATCATTCTCTCGACCCAGGAGAGAGACCCAGACCCAGCAGAAGTATGTCTGTGCACCATGTGAATGCAGTACCCATGGAAAAAAGAGGGTGCTGGATTGC